TGAGTATATGTTTTCGAAGTCCCCGGCTCTAAATTCCTCCTGCAGATTGTCTCCAGGACTAAAAGAACGGAGCCTTTGCCAAGAAAAGAGGTTGAATTCTCCAGTTTAGGTTAAATAGTGATGATTGACCAGGAAAAGAAAGTTGGGGACCCCAAGAAGTTGTGGGGATTTGGAGGAGCGGGGAGAGTATTCCCCAGGGACAAGCTTTTCTTGTCCCTCCTGCCCAGCGCCCCAGCACTCTGCTGAGTGAGAGAAGCCAGCCAGACACACAGGCACACTGCAGTTACTAAGTGACCCTAAGTACATCAAGATGGGCGTCTTGACGCCAGCCACTCACAGTGGGTCTGGAATGAATTGGGGGGTTGTTAAGATCTCTGACTTAAGCCTCTTCTCACAGGAAAAATATTTATTTCACTGAGCTCTGCTTTTTGGAAACCTGCGCCTGTAACAGCCTGCATCGATCTAGCAGAGTTCTGGCTACTGCTGCTTTATGTCTCCTCTCCTGTCTCGGGTATGGGCCGTGTGTGTGTGTGTGTGTGTGTGTGTGTGTGTGTGTGTCCCCAAGATTATTAAGCAATCAGCCAGAAGACACAGCCAGGACACTCTGCTCTACTTTAACCAAAAAAAAAAAAAAAAATGGACACAGACTGAGTTTGTGACATGAGACATAAGACTTGGGTGTTTTATCTGCAAAGATGTCTGCTTGCAAGAGGCAATTATCTTTCCTTCCCCTTTTCATCTAATATGCTCCTTTTTAAAAAATTATTATTTCCTTGGTTTGGAAACAAAAATACAAGTCTGAGGAAGAAAGAAAAGCTCACTCCTACTCTTTCAAGGAGCCACGATTAGCTATTAGTACACAGTTCTTTTCATTCCTTTTCTACTCTTGAAGCCTAAGAGTTTGAATTCCAGCTTTGCCACTTGCTGGCTGCATGATCCTGAGAGTCATGTCACCACTTGGAACCTCTGTTTCCTCATCTGGAAAATGGAGCAATAATAGTACCTACCTCTTTGGGCTTGGGGGAGGGGTGAATGACAGAAAGTACATGCAGAGCTTAGCAGAGTTCTGGCACATAGTAGATACTCAATAAATTGTACCTATTTTTATAGGATAAGTATATACAATCTTTATACCTTTGTTTTCATATAACAGTATAGTATATACATTTTCCCATTTCACTAGTCTCATAAGCATTTTTAATAACTTCAAAGTATTCTATTGCAGGCCCACATCAGCATTTTTTGAACTGTTCCCTGTGGAGGTTGCTTCCACACTATTACAAAGATTGCTGTAACAAGCTTCTCTAGGCTCAGATCTTGGTCTGCATTCTATGTTCTGTCTTTAGGATGAATTCTCAGCAGTGGAATTATTGGGTCAAATGGTATGAACACTTCCAAAAACCTCAATATATCATATTTAGCACAATGAATTGCTTTCCAGAAAGATTACTCACAGATTTGTATGAGAGCCTCCATCTCACCATGTCCCAGCTGCACTGAGGAGTTTTACCTTTTAGTTGTTGTTAATTGGACAGGCAAAAAAAAAAGTCATCTCATTCTTTAATTTGCATTTTAAAAATGTTCATTTACTATTTTTCTAATGCTGATTTTATTAACAACAATATATTGAATGTTTACTATATGCCAAGCATGAGCTTAGCGCTTTCGGTAAAAGATATTAATCACACTCTGGGTAAGAAGTGAAAACAGGGCCTTGAACAGATATTTGCACACCCATGTTCATAGCAGCGTAATTCACAGTGGCCAAAAGGTAGACGCAACCCGTGTCATTGAAAAACAAAATGCAGCAAATGCATACAATGGAATATTATTCAGCCTTAAAAAGGAAAGAAATTCTGACACAGCCTATAAGATGGATGAACCTTGAAGACATTATGCTGAGTGGAATAAACCAGTCACAAAAGGACAAGTATTGTATGATTCCACTTCTATGACGTGCCTACAATAATCAGATTCATAGAGACAGAAATTAGAATGGCGGTTACCAGGGGCTGGGGGAAGGGGGAATGGAGAGTAGTTGTTGTTTCAGGGGGACAGAGTTTCATTTGGGGAGGATGAAAAAATTCTAGAGATGGATGGTGTCGTGATGGTTGCACAAACGTGTAAATGCACTTGATCCCACGAAACTGTACATTTAAAAAATGGTTAAAATGGTACATGTAAGGTTAGGTATGTTTTAACACAATAAAAAATCTTAATCTTCATGACATCCTATGAGATTGATATTATTACCCCCACTTCTTTAAAAGATGATGAAACTACTGCTCAGAGAGGTTAAGCACATTCCCAGCATCACACAGCTTCTAAGCAGTAGAGACAGGCTTAGATGCCAGGTTGTACTCTTGAAGGCTATGTTGTCCTACAAGAATTCTGTGAACGCAGGAGACAGAGGGAAAATGCAACCACGCTCAAGATAGCATGTGGAGTTAGCAAGTACACCCTGCCAGACGGAGCTGTTGGCCCTCAAGGTTCAGAGTTCAGTTCTAAACTTATTCTCTAACTTTCTTGTGGGTTCTAAATATGGCCAAACAAGTTCTTCCAGCCTAATCAATGACGTGGGTGCATTGTTTTGAAGATCAAACCTTTTTCCTGGTATGTAAGTAATAAAATAATGCAGAGTTTGTTTGGAAAAGCCGTTTGGCTGCCTGTTAGCAGCCATCTGAGAGTGATCCTGGGCTCGCTGATGGTAGACACATGTGCTTGTTGACTGATTTTTCGGGGACCCATTTCCTGAACCCGAGTCTGAATTTCCCCTCCAGGATGAACCAAAAAAAAAAACAGAACCTCGGGAAATAACTAGGCAAAAACTTCTAACCTGAACCAGACTTAAATTTTTTCTAAAATGACTAATTAAGAACAAAGTAGGATTCGTTAGATAGTCTCCAGGCCAGGGAGGAAATGCAAGGTCTTTGGGGACTCACAGGCTGAGTTCCCCACTTCTCTGGGATGGTATTGACTTGTCCATGACCCCTTCTCAGGCATGCTGCCTCCATGGAGGTGGAGCAGGCATGTGACCCTCGTGGTCTGGCCACTGATGTCTCAACAAGCCCCTTGGACACTGCACCCAGGAGAGACCATACCACTCACTGGCCAGAAACATACAACTTCCGGGGTTTGGCTCAAAAGGATGAGCCTGGGCATCAGATTCCCTCCCTCAGGAATGCAAACCAAGAGACACAGAAGGACATTCCAGCTGGTGTAGATACTTGAGGTGAAGGGTCATGGATATTTGGAGTTGGAATGGCCATTCTAGGGCTATAGCACACAGACGTATGTGAAGGAGGGGTAGGTGCTCAAGCATTCTGAATCCCAGTGATCGTGTTGAGTGGCTGGATCAAACTTCACCTGAAACGCACCCTACCGCTGGACTTTTCAAATTAGTTTTATTAGATTTTCTGGGTTTTGGTGTGTGTGGTTTCTTTTTGTTTGTTTGTTTTTAAATAACCAAAAGGAACGTCTCTATAACCCGCCAATGCATCCCTTTTTCTTTTTTTTTACCTGAAATTGTTGGAATAGGTTTATGAATCCCCAAAGCCCAGGCAGACCACACCAAAGCAGGCAGGAGCCCTGTGGGAGAGTTTAGGATTCCAAGCAGCATCCTTGCATGTCCCAGTGACACGTTCCCCTTTCCGGGTTGGAGGCCCAGAGGAGGGGAACAGGGTTTAGGACTCTGCCGCAGGAACACGCTGTCCTCACAGCGACTCCTTCTCATCTCAGAACTGCTGTTATCAGGATCTCTCTGGAGGTTGGACAAAGGGTGACGACAGGAACTCCTGAGGCTGGAGGGCAGGTCAGGGGCCTGGGAGAGCAAGGGCAGGCTGTGACTGGGGCAGAAATATGTCTTCCATTTCCCTTGGGTCCCCGCAGCACCACTGTTTGTCCACAGTGAGTTTATCTGACAACGAGGACAAATAGCTTTCACTCGACAGGCAGTGACCCAGTGCTCAGGGCACTACTGGGGGTAAACTGAGTCTCATTGAGGCAAAGCGGCTTAGCTGTGAGAGATGTCCTTGGGATCTGAACCTGCGTCTGATGGGCTCCACGTGTGGCACCTTTTCCAGTGCCCTGTTGTGAAGCCCTGCCGGCTGCAGGCTTTCGCTGTGGTCACATCTGCCCTCGCATTTCTCTTCCAGCTGTTTCTGCAATCAGCAGCCCCTCCAGACGTCCCTCAGAGGCTGCAAGGAGCTGACTCCTGATGAGGAAAAGGATTAGCCGCAAGCCTGACTCTCCCTCCAGGCTCGGCCAGACCCACCGGAGGCGTAGGTGTGTCCAGCCTACCTGGGAGCGCCTGCTTTTGTCATCAGACAGGGCTGCCTGGAGTAGGATCAGATCCCCTGACAAAGCGGAAAGCCAAAAAGAATTAAAAGGACATTTCCAAAAGGAAATAAATCAGCAGTAATGAGTGGTCACATCTGTGAAACTGAGTGCTCCTTGAGTACCAGGCCCTGGGCCTGGGTTTGAGCCCAGGTGGTCGTGATATCTGGGTGCTGCCATAATAACTGTAATGCTGCCCCTGGGGAAACCCTTGTAGGCGTCGAGGCTCAGCTCCGGCGTCTCTCCAGCCGGGGTCTGCCCAGGACCCTCCTCTGTGCCCCAGCACTGACTTTCCACCATTCAGTTCCTGCTGTGTCTCAGGGCCCCCACGGGAGTCAGCTGAACCGGGACAGAGATACGGGCTCCAGACCTGGTCCCATGCTCATTGGCTGTGTGCCTTGGGGTAAGTCAGTGCTCCTTTCTGAGCCTCAGTTTTCCCACCTGGAAAGTGGGGCTTGGGAGTCGTGCTAGGCCAGAAGTTTTCAAACTGCCGGCTGCACCTGTTTGAGGGCCGTGAGCTCAACTGAGGGAGTCAGGACAGGCATTTATTTATGTTATCCCGCCTCCGTGGTGACGTGTTCCCCAGTGCACACGCTGTCCTTTCTGGGAACGACCACGTGCTTCTCTGATCCCGCCCGGTACCCTGCTCAGAGCTGCTGCTGGGCACATGCTTCTTAAGTGACTCACGCGGTCTGTTCTGTTCTCCTTCACGATGCCTGCCAGCCCATGCGTGCGGCTCGGTCAGAGCGAGGGTTAGACAGGCCTGACGTGGAGCTGGGCCCTGGCCTCACTCGAGTGTGGCCACGGGCAGTGCTGCTCTACCTCTCCAAGCCTCTGTTCATAGGGAATAAGTCCACCTACGTTATAGGATTACCTTGTGAATTTGAATTAAGGTAAGGCATGCAAAGCCCATAGCTTTGTGAGAGGCTCAGGGCTTTGAAACAACAGGCTCCTTGAGGGGGGAGGACACCCCTACAGCCAAATAAGCAGCTGGTACTTTGGCACCTATTTTCTGCCTGGTTGGCTGCGGCTGAGCTGGGAGAACACTCGCCAGGGACTTACTCTCTCTACTTTCTGGCTTCCTTAGACTGCTTGCCAGACATCTGTTCTCCCCTCCAAGACATCCGGACCCCAGGAGGGAATAACTTCAGCATCACCCCCTTTTGAGAATGTGCGTTTGGTAGAGTGTGCTACCGGGTTTTATTGTATTAAAGGCGAGGTGACAAACGCCCACCAAGATCTCTGTGGATGGACAGATGGTTTGACTGGCGGGTTCCCTGTGCGTCGTCCTGCCTGTGTGCCCACCAGGCCGCGCTCAGCTCCGGGCAACACTCCGAGCAAGAGTCAGGTCAGTGGCCGCACTTTCTGGTTTCCTCTGACCTCAAGTCTATTTCTTTTCCATGTGCAGCAGCTGTCTGCAGTGGAAAACTCCACTGAGGGACAGGCCTCCTCTTAATGCTCGAATCAGGCAGAATCCCGCAGGGAGGGTCGGTCGCCGAGTTCCTGCGTTACACCGGGCAAATCGTGCCGAATCTCAGAGCTTCAGTGTCCGTGTTTCCATCGGCTTGGAACAGAAATTGTAGATGGATTTTGGCTCACGTTCTAACACCAACTGGTGGATACGGACGGGTTGCTTACGGGGTAGTGTTGAGATGGATGCTGAGGCTGTGGTTTGCTCACTAGGAAAGGGTGCTGGGATTGACTGGCAATGTCTGCCATGAACTGAACGATGGGAAAGAATGGAATGTTTGGCATCACATATTTGCCATCCCAACCCAGGTGCTCTATCAGCTTCCTCAAAGCTTGAAATGGCTCAGAGTCTTAAGCTCTCGTTAGATCAAACAAAACTTAAGATCTCTATTTTGATTTGACCTTTCTTCTAATGGTGCCCCAGGTTTCTCATGGTCAGTGATTCCTTACCACTTTTCAGTGCAAAACCATTGAGGCCCATCCAGACCAGCACATCTCTGAGCCACCGTGACTGGCTCCGACAAGGAAATCTCCCCCAGGCCAGGTCCCTGAAAACCAGCCCGAAAATCCCCCACCCCCAGCCACCCCACTCAATCCAGCCATCACTGAAGCTAAACCTAACCCTAGACCTTTAAATTCTGTGAGTCAATACATTGTGTTTTTTTGCATAAGCCTGTATGAATTGCGGTTTCATTACTTGTAACTCAAGGAATCTTAATATGCACAGACTCTTTCTTTTTCCCAGTCGGACCCAGAACGGGCACCAAAGAAGGTTTGGCTAATACGACAGTGAGAACATCTGGCGCTTTGTTTTTGTTTTTCTTCTATCCAGCCAAGACAAGAGGCCTAGAATGCAGAAAAAGGACACCAATTTCTTCAAATATAGAAGCCAGGGAGACTGCTCCCACGGGGTCTCCGTGATGGGACAGCCTCTGCTTTGGATGAATAGAGACCAAGTGGGGTCACATTGTTTGGAATATCCTTCTGTTCCCCCCAAGACAAACTTTTCATGCTTTTACCTTAGCTTCCTAGGGTACTGCATCTAGCTTGGTTAAAGTTTGTTTAAAAACATTGGCATAACGCATACATACCCTTGGGAGGGAACGATTAACCATCAACTAGCAAAGTTAACGTCCCTGCACACCCGTCTCCTCCAGTGAAATGGACCAGAACCTCCACCCCATCCCCAGAGGAAACTTCCCTGCCTTGTCCTAGAACATTTCAAAACTGGGTTTCCGCTTTAAGTTCTTAACATATTCTCACCCAAGCTCAGCTTACTGGCCTGGCTCCTTCACAGTGAGGGGAGGGCAAGGTCCATGATATGGGACTAACCGTGATACTGGGTGCTTCTGGAGACTGACTTCTGAAGTTTTTTAAGGCAAATTCTCCTATGGCCCTCTCCCGCCACCCCCCCCCCCCCCATCCAGAAACCTGAAAGGCACAGCAGCAGTGGGAGGATAGTGAAGGCTGTGGAGTCATATGGACCTGGGGACAAATCCTAGCCTGTCTCATTCTTGCTGTGTCATCATGAACAAGTTGTTTAACCTCTCTGAGCCTCAGTTTTCCTTTCTGTAAAATGGAGATAAATACTGCCCCACTGGGCAGGGCTGTTTCTGAGAATTCCATGTTACAATGCTTTCACAACGCCTGACCTAGTAAATGGTCTTTATAGTAGTAGTATTCACGTCATTCTCATTTCGATTGGCTTAGACCAGGGGCAGGAAGGGAGGAGGATGGAGAGAGAGAAGGGTGTTGGGAATGACCTCAGAATTCCTGTATCGTTCCATGATGGGGGGCTATGACTTGCTCTCCCCAGCCGCCCTCCTTTGCGAGTGCTGAGTCAGCCCCTAGGGAACTACCTGGCAGCTTCTTCCTTTCAACGGTGACAGATCCATCTCTTTCTACCCCAGGCGGGGAAACTGAGGCTGGGCCTCCAGCCAGTCCCAGAGGCTGAGCTGTGATAGAGGCTCTGACCGCCCAGTCTATGGGACTTTGCGACAGTAGCCTTACCAGGCTGTGACAGTTATTATACCCCCGTGCTGCTGTTTGTCTCTCCGGCAGAGTAGTTAGCACGACTGTGACTTAATGAAGTATGTGACCATTTCTGTAACAGGTAATAGTTTGAAAAATATTACTGTATTTTCCTCTTTGCCTTTCTGGGCGACCAGCTCTCCCCTGTTGGTCCTCAGATATCCATCTGCCCGGGAAGGTTTGGATTTGTACAGAGGGACACAGAGCAGAACCATGGCAATATTTAACTCCTTGTAATCAAAATAGATTTTGCCACGAGACAGTAGACTTAAAAGCCACCACTGCGAGAAAAGATGTTTAAAAAGTCCTTTAGCTCCTAAATTAACCTAGCAAAGGCACGGAACTTTCCCGAATCCTCAGGCAAGTAGAGGAGTGCCCCCAGGGGTGCTATCTAGGGCAGAAGGGGCACGTGCAGAGAAGAAGGGAGGACACCCCCTCTCTTGCTTTAGCCCAGGGAGGACAACAGCATGCAGGAGGGTAGTGGCGAACTCAGGGCTACCTGGGTTCAAATCCCAGCTCTGCCACTTACTAGCTATGTCACCATGAGCAAGTTATTTCACTTCTCTGGGCCTCGCTCTCCTCATCTGTAAAGTGGGACTAAGAAAACTCCCTCACAGAGTTGCTGTGAGTATTAAATAAATGGACTTTGGTGTATCATCGGCACTCTACGTGTTGATTGCTCCTCTTTATTGGTATTTTTTTATACAAGTAGAGTCAGCTCCACAGGCAGGGGTTTGCACTGACCCACCGGTTTAGGGTGGTGACCCTGGGGATACGTACAGCAGGTTGGAAGGAAGGAAGCTCTGATGTCCTGCTGTCCTGGCTTCCTGGGGTCCCTCCCCACGGCCAGGATGGGGCTCCATAATTCCTACTCAGGTGGGAACACACTATTAGAGCAAGAGGCAGAGTGACTGCAGCAGGGGCTGGCGGTGACGGCCTGGGGCGGGGCGGGGCGGGCGGGGACGAGGCAGGTGCCATGGACACGAGGCGGACCTGAGCCAAGGTAGAGACAAGTGAGCCAGGCAGGGCTCCAGGACCCGAGTTCTGCCAGCCACCAGCTGCAGCTACAAATGTCAGAAAGGCAAGCACCGACTTTAGGCAACAGACATGGCTGCAGACCCCACCGCGTTCCACCTCCCCCACCACCCGGGAGTCTGGTCATCAGTGTACCTCCCAGACACAGACCCGAATGATGCCATCCTAGAGAGGGGCCGGGGAGGGAGCAGAAGGAAATCTGAGCTGAGCATTACCTGAAGGCCTGAAGTACTGGGGTCAGATTAAATTGACCAGATTACACTAAATCTGGTGTTTTTCCTCATTGCCCTCGGACTGGGGTTTGTGAGAAAGCTCAGATCAGTTACAGGAAATAAAGAAAAGACATTTTTCTCTGCATGCGCATGTGAGACTGTGAGTAACTGGGCAGCCCCATGTCAGTCACCGGGAGGGATACTCCTGTGGGCGGGGACACACCTGTGTGCTCAGCACTGTCTGAACCATAGCTGGTGCTCAGTGAACATCATGGAAGAAGTGGATACGAGCTCCATAGTGACTCTGGGCGGCAGCAAACTGGGGCCACACTCTGGGACTGGGAAGTAAGAATTCTTTTCTTAGCTTCCACAGAGGCGCAGGCTTTGGACTCAGACCCAGTTGGGCTCAAACCCTGGCTTGACCTTTATGTGGGCAGCTTCTGAGGTGGCCCCAGGGATCCCACCTCCTGGCAGTCACACTCTTCTTACGTGTGAGTGGACCCAGTGACTTGCTTCTAATGAATAGAATATGGCAAAAGTGCTGGGATGCCATCTCCAAGATTAGGTTTTAAAAGACAGTGACTCAGCTCTCTCCCTACACACACACACACACACACACACACACACACACGTNAACCCTGGCTTGACCTTTATGTGGGCAGCTTCTGAGGTGGCCCCAGGGATCCCACCTCCTGGCAGTCACACTCTTCTTACGTGTGAGTGGACCCAATTCCATCATAGGGACTAAGATTTTCTTCTAATGAATAAAATGTTCTCTATCCAAGATTAAAAAAAAAATAAAAACACCAAAGCTCTCTACACACACACACACACACACACACACACACACACACACACACGTCCACGCAGCACTGTCTGAACCGTAGTTGGTGCTCAGTGAACATCCATGGGAGAAGTGAATATGCAGTCCTACTTCTTGGGCTGCTCACGTTGACAAAGCAAGCTGCTGTGCTGGAGAGGCCGACATGGCTAGGAACTGAGGCCTCCAGCCAATAGCCAGAGAGGAACTGAGGCCTCCAGCCAAGAGCCAGAGAGGAACTGAGGCCTCCAGCCAAGAGCCAGAGAGGAACTGAGGCCTCCAGCCAATAGTCAGAGAGGAACTGAGGCCCTCAGTCCAAGGGTCCACAAGGAGCTAAATCGTGCCCATACCACGAGTGAACCTGAAAGTGGATCCTGCCCCAGTTGAACCTTGAGATGGCTGGAGCCCCACCGACACCTTGGCTGCATGCAGCCTGTGAGTCTGTGACGCAGAGGACCCAGCCAAGCCACGCCTGGACCCCCAACCTGCAGAAACTTGAGATCATAAACATGTGTTGTTTTAAGCTGCTACATTTTGGGGTCATGTGTAATGTAGCTGCAGATGACTGCTACAGCCCCTCAGTAGCTCTGCGCCCCTGAACCAGTTACTGAACCTATATATGTGTACCCTCATCTAAAGAGGGACATAAGAATCGCACCTCCTCACCTTATAGGTTCATTGCAAGGACCAATAAAATGAATGAATAAATGAACGGGTAGATGAGTGAATGAGACCACTGGTTGGAGCAGTGAGAAGATCACAGAATCAGGAAGGAAAAGCCAAAGGCCAGGTCGGGATGAAGCTGTGAAGAGCTGTCACTGAGCGGCTGCCACAAGGCCATTGTACCCCTGGGAAGGTCCCTCACCAAGGGGAAGCCCTACCTACATCCTCCCTTCACCAGCCAGTTCTCCCTGGGGCTCCCGAGGACCAGTGCTTGGAGCTGCCAAGACACTCAGCATCCTTTGCCACCCCCACCCTGGGTTCTGCTGTCCCTTCTTCATGGATTCTGTTCCCTCTGGGGCTGCTGTTGCCCAAAAGCTGGCCGGGCTTGGCGCCATGGAGACAAACAAGCTGATAGCCACAACATCTGATAGCCCCAGAAACTGACCCCCGTGGGAGAGCCGCAGCCAGCTGGCATGAGTACCACGGCCTGGCCACAGCTCCTGGGCAGTCAGTCCTGGGGGTGACAGGGACAAAGGGGAGGGGTCAGGCTTCAGCCTTCACATGGTAACAGATGCCTGACTCTGAGTTGGGAGAACAGGCTTTAGACCTGGACACACATCACAGGACCTCGAGCCTTAACGAAGGCTGCGTGACACTCAGACCTGAGCTGGACCCGCCATGCTGCCCACCTGCCCATAGGGGAGCACTTCTGTCTCAGCCAGGGCTGGAGCCACCCGAGCAGAAGGGCCATGTGGCCAATATCTGTCCTTCCCTCACTCCTAAACTGGGGATGTGAATCAGACCCTTGATGTTCTCAGGCATGGAGACTAGTCGGCAGCCCACAGGCAGCTCACCTGTAACAGGCAGAGGTTTGGGAGGTAACCCTAGTCCCCCTCCTTGGTCCTCCCCACTCCAGCTTCTCAGATGCTGGGCACGTGGGCTGCCCCAGCTGGTGACAACCAACATCAGTACTGGTTTCCCCATTGCCCTGAGGGGCAGGTGCTAGGAGCAGGCTCCTGCATCCGGCGAGTTAGGGGCCTGGCCCTTGACCCACAGTCAGAAGCTGGAGTGCTGCTTCTCTCTTATCCTAGCTTTGGCTCGTCTCTGTACTCCACCAGTCACGCTCCCCTATCTTCACCATGACAACAACAGTCAGCATTAAGGAGAACTCGCTCTGTGCCATTAGCTGGGGGGATCCCCACAACCCCCCACCCCACAGGCAGGTTATGTCAAAGTTCCTATTTTGCACAAGGACTGGCTGAGGCCCCACTGGTCAGTGGAGGAGGCAGGATTTGAAGCCAGGCAGCCTGGCTTTGGGGCAGCAGTCTCTGGGATGTGGCTGGCTCCTACACACTGGCCAGCCACTCCCAGCAAAGCTCTGCAGGCTGGCTTTGTCCTTCGGGAACCCCCGGTCCCCCCAGAGGCCACCAACCCACTCGCTGGCCAGGAGAAGGCTCCCCGGCTCTCCCTGCTGACAGAGCTATATTTCTTGGCCCCGAAGCCACAGTTGTTGGAAATTACAATCCTTCCTTCCTGACTCCGAGCTTATGACTCCAAGAGGCTCCTAACGCACACGTCTCCCATTAGCCAAAGCAAGTTCTTTCCACGGCCGCAGCCCAGGCGTGTTAAAATGTAAACTGCCGTACATCATGTGGCAGCATGTTCATTTGTCTCTGTCAGGCCCCATTCCGGCCCCACCAGGGCCCCTCTCCCCTCACTGTCATCCTGTGAGGGCCTTGGCCAGGCCTGGCCCAAGACGTCGGGGTTTGCGGACCCGACAGAGTGAA